TGCTGAGGGAGCGCCGCACTGTCGGAGGGTCAGTGCTGAGGGAGCGCTGAGGGAGGATTGCACAGCGAATGGTTTCGGTCTGGAATCTACTGCCTGAGAATATAATGGGGGCAGTTTCAAATGTGAGTTCATTGCTTTGTAATACCTGGAGGTACAGGATTTTGGGGAGAGGGCAGGTGAATGAAACCAAGTGAAATGCTCATTGTGTGAGCTAGTGTCGACATGATGGGCTGAATGTTCTCCTGTGCACTGTAATAATGCTGCAATTGTGAAAATTGTGAGCTTCACAACATTTGTTTTGATACAGCGAAACTGTTCCAATTTGTGGGGCAGGAGCAGAGGGTGTGGGAGTAATTGTAGAGCTGTTTCAAGGGGCTAGCATTGGCATATTGATGGAGTGAAGGTCCTCCTGTGTTTGTGTATGATTCTACTCCAGTGGCAGTCTGGCTTATTGAGACACACTAACAGGAACCTTACGCTGACACTGCATCTCCTCTTTCTGCCACGTTCCATCCGGGAGGCAGCGGTAGAACTGGTATCCACGTGCCTCATAACCGGAGAAACAGATAATCTCCAGCATTTCAGCCACGTCGTAACGAGGTTTGGAGATCTGCAACAGAGACCGAGTGTTAGTCAGTGCAGAGCCAGTGGGATGGAATTTAAATTCAAACCCAGTCTCAGCGATGGTGACCATGATAACAATCACTGTTTGTTGTGAAAACCCATCAGGTTCTCTAATGCCCTTCAGGGAAGGAAATCTCTCATCCTTACATGTGACTCCAAACCCACAGCAATGTGGTTAACCCCTAACTGCCCTCTGGGCAATTAGGGATGGGCAATATCTGTTAGCCTACATGCTGTGAACAAATAAAAGGAGATTTACAACTAAGCCAGAAGTTGCTGGAAAAGCTCAGCAGGTCTGGCAGCATCTGTGAAGGAGAAAACAGAGTTAACGTTTCGGGTCCAGTGACCCTTCCTCAGAATAGATGGTGGCTGGGAAAACGTCAGTTTATATGCAGAAAATAGGGAGGTGGGTGGGGTAGGGAGTAAATGATAAGATAGAACCCAAAAGAGAGAGATAAGATCAGTTGGACAAACAAAGGAGTTGCTAACGATCAGGCTGGGAGGGTGAATAGTTGTTAATGGGGACTGTTAGTGACTAACAACAGGGGGTATGTAGTGGCAGGCTATGTGATAACAAGGCCTGGTGTGTGGGGTGGGGGGGCTGGGACATGGGAGAGTTTAGGCCCTAAAATTATTGAACTCAATATTGAGTCCGGAGGGCTGTAGGGTCCCCAAGCGGAAAATGAGGTGTTGTTCTTCCAGCTTGCGTTGGAATTCACTGGAACACTGTAGAAAGCCGGAGACAGAGATGTTAGCCAGGGAACAGGGTGGTGTGTTAAAGTGTCAGGGAACAGGTAGCTCAGGGTCTTTTTTGCAAGCAGAATGTAGATATTCTGTGAAGTGGTCATCTAGTCTACGCTTTGTTTCCCGAGTGTAGAGGAGACCATATTGTGAGCAGTGAATGCAGTAGACAAGATTCTGGGAAGTGTGGATGAAGGCTTGGCAATGTGGAGGAACAGAGGGATCTTGGGGTCCATAGAACATAGAACATAGAACATTACAGCGCAGTACAGGCCCTTCGGCCCTCGATGTTGCGCCGACCTGTGAAACCAATCTGAAGCCCATCTAACCTAAACTATTCCATTATCATCCATATGTTTATCCAATGACCATTTAAATGCCCTTAAAGTGGGCGAGTCTACTATTTTTGCAGGCAGGGCATTCCACGCCCTTACTACTCTCTGAGTAAAGAACCTACCTCTGACATCTGTCCTATATCTATCACTCCTCAATTTAAAGCTATGTCCCCTCGTGCTAGCCATCACCATCCGAGGAAAAAGGCTCCCACTGTCCACCCTATCTAATCCTCTGATGATCTTGTATGTCTCTATCAAGTCACCTCTTAACCTTCTTCTCTCTAACGAAAATAGCCTCAAGTCCCTCAGCCTTTCCTCATAAGACCTTCCCTCCATACCAGGCAACATCCTGGTAAATCTCCTCTGCACCCTTTCCAATGCTTCCACATCCTTCCTATAATGCGGTGACCAGAACTGTACGCAATACTCCAAGTGCGGCCGCACCAGAGTTTTGTACAGCTGCAACATGACCTCATGGCTCCGAAACTCAATCCCTCTACCAATAAAACCTAACATACTGTACGCCTTCTTAACAACGCTATCAACCTGGGTGGCAACTTTCAGTGATCTATGCACATGGACACCGAGATCTCTCTGCTCATCCACACTACCAAGAATCTTACCATTAGCCCAGTACTCTGTATTCCTGTTACTCCTTCCAAAGTGAATCACCTCACACTTTTCCGCATTAAACTCCATTTGCCACCTCTCAGCCCAGCTCTGCAGCTTATCTATGTCCCTCTGTAACCTGCAACATCCTTCCGCACTATCCACAACTCCACCGACTTTGGTGTCATCCGCAAATTTACTAACCCATCCTTCTACGCCCTCATCCAGGTCATTTATAAAAATGACAAACAGCAGTGGCCCCAAAACAGATCCTTGAGGTACACCACTAGTAACTGAACTCCAGGATGAACATTTCCCATCAACCACCACCCTCTGTCTTCTTACAGCTAGCCAATTTCTGATCCAAACCGCTAAATCACCCTCAATCCCATGCCTCCGTATTTTCTGCAATAGCCTACCATGGGGAACCTTATCAAACGCTTTACTGAAATCCATATACACCACATCAACCGCTTTACCCTCATCCACCTGTTTGGTCACCTTCTCGAAGAACTCAATAAGGTTTGTGAGGCACGACCTACCCTTCACAAAACCGTGTTGACTATCCCTAATCAAATTATTCCTTTCTAGATGATTATAAATCCTATCTCTTATAATCCTTTCCAACACTTTACCCACAACCGAAGTAAGGCTCACTGGTCTATAATTACCAGGGTTGTCTCTACTCCCCTTCTTGAACAAGGGGACAACATTTGCTAGTCTCCAGTCTTCTGGCACTATTCCTGAAGACAATGACGACATAAAGATCAAAGCCAAAGGCTCTGCAATCTCCTCTCGAGCTTCCCAGAGAATCCTAGGATAAATCCCATCCGGCCCAGGGGACTTATCTATTTTCACACCTTCCAGAATTGCTAACACCTCCTCCTTATGAACCTCAATCCCGTCTAGTCTAATAGACTGTATCTCAGTATTCTCCTCGACTACATTGTCTTTTTCCTGTGTGAATACTGACGAAAAATATTCATTTAGCGCCTCTCCTATCTCTTCGGACTCCACGCACAACTTCCCACTACTGTCCTTGACCGGTCCCAATCTTACTCTAGTCATTCTTTTATTCCTGACATACCTATAGAAAGCTTTAGGGTTTTCCTTGATCCTACCTGCTAAAGACTTCTCATGTCCCCTCCTGGCTCTTCTTAGCTCTCTCTTTAGGTCCTTCCTGGCTAACTTGTAACTCTCAAGCGCCCTAACTGAGCCTTCACGCCTCATCTCCACATAAGCCTCCTTCTTCCTCTTGACAAGAGATTCAACTTCTTTAGTAAACCACGGTTCCCTTGCTCGACCACTTCCTCCCTGCCTGACAGGTACATACTTCTCAAGGACACGCAGTAGCTGTTCCTTGAACAAGCTCCACATTTCAATTGTCCAAGTCCTTATATCCCTCAAAGTTGCTACCCAAGTTGATAGGGTCGTAAAGAAGGCGTATGGTATATTGGCTTTCATTGGCAGGGGAATTGAGTTCAAGAGCCGTGAGGTTATGCTGCAGCTCTATAAAACTCTGGTTAGACCACACTTGGAATATTGTGTTCAGTTCTCGTCACCTCATTATAGAAAAGATGTGGAAGCTTTAGAGACGGCACAGAGGAGATTTCCCAGGATGCTGCCTGGACTGGAGGGCAGGTCTTATGAGGAAAGGTTGACGGAGCTAGGGTGTTTTTCATTGGAGCACAGAAGGACAAGAGGTGACTTGATAGAGGCGTACAAGATGATGAGAGGCATAGACAGAGTGGATAGTCAGAGACTTTTTCCCAGGGCGGAAATGACTATTACGAGGCGGCATAATTTTAAGGTGATTGGAGGAAGGTATAGGGGAGATGTCAGAGGTAGGTTCTTCACACAGAGAGTGGTGGGTGTGTGGGATGTGCTGCCAGCAGTGGTAGTGGAGTCAGATACTTTCGAGACTTTTAAGCGACTCTTGGATAGGCACATGGAGGATAGTAAAATGTAGGGTATGCAGGGTAGTTTGATCTTAGAATAGGATGATAGGTCAGCACAACATCATGGGCCGAAGGGCCTGTACTGTGCTGTACTGATCTATGTTCTATGTTCTAAGCGTTGGTTCACCTGGAAGGTATGTTTGGGCCCTTGGATACTGGGGAGGGAGGAGGTAAATAGGCAGGTGTTGCACCTTCGCTGGTTACAGGGGAAGGTGCCGTGGGGCTGTGGGGGGGTGTTGGGGGTGAAGGAAGTGTGGACCAGGGTGTCCCGGAGGGAATGGTCCCTGTGGAAGGCGGACAAGGGAGGGGAGGGGAATATGTGTCTGGTGGTGGCATCTCGCTGGAGGTGGTGGAAATGGCATCTGATGATCGTCTGGATGTGGATGCTGGTGGGATGGTAGGTGAGGATAAGGGGAACCCTATTGCTGTTGCAGGAAGGAATGGAATGGGTGAGGGCGGAAGCGTGGGAGATGGGTTGGACCCGGTTGAGGCCCTGTCAACAACGGAGCTGGGGAATCCACAAGGGATAGATGTTGGCCAAACCAGGTAAGAACGAGAGAATTCCTTCCCTAAAGGATATGAGTGAACCAGCTGAGTTTTTACAACAATGGACAGTCATTGTTGGTTAATCCTTCTCCTTTGTGTGTCTGGGTGTTTTTTTGTGGCTGAAATGATCTCGGCGCACCCATCTTCAGCTGCTTCATCAATGACCTTCCCTCCATCATAAGGTCAGAAGTGGCGATGTTCGCCGATTATTGCACAATGTTCAGCACCATTCGTGACTCCTCAGATACTGAAACAGTCCATGTTCACATGCAACAAGATCTGGACAATATCCAGGCTTGGGCTGACAAGTGGCAAGTGACATTCGCGCCACACAAATGCCAGACTATGGCCATCTCCAATAAGAGACAATCTAATCACCGTCCCTTGACATTCAATGATGTTACCATCACAGAATCCCCCACTATCAACATCCTGGGGGTTACCATTGACCAGAAACTCAACTGGACTCACCACACTAACACAGGGGCTACAAGAGCAGGTCAGAAACTGGGAATACTGCAGCGAGTAACCCACCTCCTGACTCCCCAAAGCCTGCCCACCATCTACAAGACACAAGTCAGGAGTGTGATGGAATACTCCCCATTAGCCTGGATGGGTGCAGCCCCAACAACACTCAAGAATCTTGATACCATCCAGGACAAAGCAGCCGCTTGATTGGCACCACATCCACAAACATCCCCTCCCTCCACCACCGACGCTCAGTAACAGCAGTGTGTACTATCTACAAGATGCACTACAGAAATTCACCAAAGATCCTCAGACAGCACCTTCCAAACCCACGACCACTTCCATCTAGAAGGACAAGGGCAGCAGATACATGGGAACGCCACCCCCTGCAAGTTCCCTTCCAAGCCTCTCACCATCCTGACCTGGAAATATATCGCCGTTCCTTCACTGTCACTGGGTCAAAATCCTGGAATTCCCTCCCTAAGGGCATTGTGGGCCAACCCACAGCACATGGACTGCAGCAGTTCAAGAAGGCAGCTCACCCCCACCTTCTCAAGGGGCAACTAGGGACGGGCAATAAATGCTGGGCCCAGACAGTGCTGACCATGTGCTGTGAATGGGTAAAACAAGTCTCCTCAGTGGCGTGTTTGCTGTGCTAGGTGATACGACAGAGCCCGGGGAGAACTCTTACCCTCAGGAAGCCATTCTCGGGCGCCTCTGGTTTGGGACAGTAGACACTGCCATCGGTGGGACCAGGATGCAGTGGATCAGTGATCTCCTTTCTCACCTCGTCGTCATTAATACACAGAGTGCTCCTGGAGAGAGGGCAGATAGACATGTCGGTGTCAGTTAGCACTCAGCAGATAAATCAGGAATTTGTCCTGTTAGACACCTTCAGTCAGATCCAACCCTGAAATGTATGACCTAACTCTCCTGGGACAGAGTCTGTGACAACCTGCTCAGAGTTAGAACTAAATACATCGCATTTTTAGTCCATGCAGACACACAGGGTGTAAATACTCCTCTCTCACTCTGTACAGCGTCAGCAGTGTGAGCTTGTATCTCTTGTACCTGGGAAGTTTAGTCTGTTGGGTGTGAATGTTTTTCTTCATTCATTCACAGGATGAGGGTGTTGCTGGCCAGGCAGTATTTATTACCCATCCCTAATTGCCCAGAGGGCAGTTAAGAATCAAAGTATTGCTGCGGGTCTGGAGTCACGTGGAGGCCAGACCAGGTAAGGATGGCAGTTTCCTTCCCTAAAGGACAGTAGTGAACCAGATGGGTTTTTCCGACAATCGGCAATGGATTCACGGTCATCATTAGATTCTTAATTCCAGATATTTATTGAATTCAAATTCTCCCATCGCCTGTGGCAGGATTCGAACCCGGGTCCCCAGAACATTATCTGGGTCTCTGAGTTAACAGTCCAGTGATAATACCACTAGGCCATCGCCTCCCCAATGTGGCATTTGACACTTGTGAAAGGTGGTATATAAATACTTGTTGTTGTTGTAGTTGGTACCCCGGGCCCTCTCACACTGTGGGTGACACTCTGGGCACAGTTGAACCACAGGCTCCAACGTTTAGCACGAATTAATGTACAGGACCACATTCCCCCATCAACACACCTACAGCCCCCTCCCAGCCCCATAGCTTAACCCTAACTGTAGGAGAATATCACCCCCATCCTCACACACACACACACACACACTCACACACTCACACACACACACACACACTCTCTCACTCTCTCTCTCACACACACACACACACACACTCACACTGTCACACACACACACACTCACTCTCTCTCACACACACACTCTCTCACTCTCACACTCACACTGTCACACACACACTCACACTGTCACACACACACACTCACACTCTGACACACACACACACAC